TGTTATGTTTTCACTTGTACTACTACCTGCTTGAATAACCTCGTGATATATTAAAACCTATATATATTTCAATCTATTCTCAATTTGATTGAACCACCGATCCAACAATTATCCTTTCCTTTGATTGTATATGTATAACTATACCACACGAATGTCTTGATTGGTACTTAAATAAAGATGCTGGCATGTTTTAGGAGTTGGACTAGTCAGTTATTTCTAAACGACTTCTTGGCGCCCAATTTTTTATATATAATATGTAATAGGGAAATGTTCTAACTGTATTGTTAGCAGAAAGAAGGTAGCAATGAATCCAGCACCACAAGAGGCAAGGATGGGGTTGAGAGGACTTACCACAAGGAAGGCCTACTCCTCAAGGCCAAAGAAGAAAGTGGAAGGGTGGTATATATACCCATGAATGGTAAGACAGATGACCTTGCTTACTTCCATACATATGATATGACTGTCCCCCATAACCTATGTTGATAACATTGTGCTGACGGAATAATAACACATAAAAACCCCTTTGCCAGGATGCGCAATGCCCACTAATGTTCGGAATAATAAACATCTAGAATGGCATACCATCATTTTGACTAGCCTTATCTTCCCTACAGGTTTCGGTACATCTGGCTTCACCTAGTAATGGAAAATGCATTTTGCTAGAAATGGGCCTGCTTTCATAGTAACTGATGAAAGGCAGATGAATAATGAGTAGCACAAACGCATTTGTCCATTACTTGGCAGGGGGAGGATTGTTGGGGCACGTTTTTGTAACCATACCCCAACAGAAGGCGTATGTATAATCAAATCAAATGGATACATGGCTTCCCTCCCACATAGACTTACAGACCACTTTTTGCCCAGAAACCTAGACAATTGATGACACCAGACTTCCATGCCGAAAGCTGATGCCTGGTGAAGAAGACACCAGTGACACCCAGAGACATCCGCGCTGGAAGCTGTTGTTTCATATGTACATATATTCCCCTCACCAAAAATTTAGGTAAAGGTGACCAGAAAAAAAAATGGAGAAGGAAGATCTCTAAAAGACTGAACCTTATAAAATATCCTTCCCGAGAAAGGAAAGCGTTATATTACAGTTCAAGTGAAAAGGGGCCTGTGTCGATTTTTAGCTAAGACGGAGGGGGGGCGATATATATATACCGTCCCGAGAAAAAGGGAGAATAGTATTTCAATCCATGTGGAGGGGGGGGCCTGGCGTCTGAAATTTTACACTATCGCCGTAGCTGTTTCTCTCTTTAGATTTTTTTTTTGTTTTGGTAATACTATATGTTCTATTTTGATGGGAGAGGCCTGGGGCGTCGATGAAATTGTATACTGGAGCCGTTGGCCATTTTGATTGGTGTTTCTTTCAGCGAATGAAAACGGAGAGAGACATGAATAAAAGAGGGTTTCTTGGCCAAAAGGCAGATTCGATCGGAGTCGCTCAGTGAGAGGACAGTCTTCAGACGGGAGATCAGACCTTTGCCGGCACTTTCGAGAAAAAGGTAAGCCTAAGTCATTATGACTTAGCGCCCCCCTTTTTGTGTAGTAACCAACCTAGATTTCGCATGGGCCCTAAAGGGCTATAAAGTAACTTCAGGTCACCTCTATCTAAATTTTTACTATGTAAATAGCATATCTCGTCAGTATAGACATGTTCCCAAATTTTAATTTATTTAAATAAATATCTAGAGAAATTTTCTTGTTTTCTCTCATACATATTTCATACCTTTTGCTTTATGGTACTACCCCCCACACCTTAATTTTACAAAGTGTACAAATTATAGAACAACCGACTCTGTTGAAATAGAGTTGTGTACTATATCTTTGCTGTGATATATTGACACAGCAACAGTTGCAAAATTACGACTTTATTAGGGCTACTTTGAGGGTAATTATCTGTCAGGTTTTAGTAATGTTTGTACTTTTATGTGTTTCAGTGCGTTATTCCATCATATTTACCATTATACAACATTAAGGTCTTGCTGCGGGTTATATACATGGGGTTGTTGGCCTAAATTGCTATATATATATATATACTTAAGTAAGGAAACTTTAATAAGTCACATCGTGTATCCTCCCTTTTCATCTATCCAAACCAGGGAACGCAACATCAACAATGACCTTCTATACCCATCAATTAAATATATATTGTAGTGTTGAAAATAATTAGCCAGTCGGTTAATTAACTCAACAAACAAAAAGATAGTTTTTATTATTCTATCTAAAGAGAAAGAAGGAAATATCTAAAAGATTAAAAAGTAAACAACGAGAGAAGAAGAAGGAATAAGTCTCGTGGCCACGCGGCCTTGCAAGGGTTACTTCCACAGGCAGTGACGTCAGCTCCAGAGTTGCCGAGCCAGCAATTTCACTATGAAGTCGGCTTTGGTACAATATATTAAAATGTTAATTTTAGGTATTTGCATGAATATTCTGAGTGAATATTTACAATTCGAAGTAAAACTATAGAAAGAAAGGGGGGAATGTACTAAAGTTACATACATTAAATGTCGCAATCGTGGTCAATAGGAATTTAATGATGGTTATTTTTGTCAAGGACACTGGAACTGGAGGTCAAATATTGACGCCACTCACAGAGGTGTATGCATATTTTGTGTGAACTATAAACACATTATGTTAATGCTTCGTTGGTGTAATAACCTGATATAACATTTTATATGATAAAATTTATTTTATTTATTTACTGTTTTGATACATATAGAGAGAGCGCGGAGAGCAGTTTAAAATTAAAATCAATAATGAAATATATCCTTAAATGTTTTCTCTTTTAAAATAATTTTTAAATGAAACACTCTCTTTCTCCTGTATTTATATTTTTTAATAAAAAAGGGGTATCCGGATCTATGAAAGAAAAGAAAAATTTCTCAAAATATACTAGTGACCAAAATATTTAGGTAATAAACATTAAATCCTTGAGAAAAATAATAATATAACGAAAAATTTAAAAAAAGTCATTTTATATGATATGCAAATTACACCACGTGGTTTAGCTAGCAAATAAAAATAATTTTAAAACAATTTTAATATGCAAATTTGGGTCATTCTTTAAAGCGTTCGCTTGCGTGTCTTTTTATCCAGCTTTAAAATTTTATTTGAACAATATTTCTTCAGTTTTATCTATCCATGGGACGCCATAGATGTTTAGAAGACTCGTTGAGGTGAAGGCCCATTGGTAGAATAGAGGCAGGCCAGTCCCAAGCAGAAGTTGCAAGATGGCTCGAAACGTCAAGTAAAGTTAGTTTCGAATCTATGGAACCAATTTCAAGAAACAGGTGACATCTTCAGAAGAGAAGGACAAGGTCGCCCGAGAATCACAACCTCATCAGAAGAACGTTATCTGAAGTTAACGGCCAAACGTAACAAAACCATGACAGCCAGACAGCTAACAATTGAGCCACAGGAACCATGATATCAAGGCAAACAGTTTACAGAAGACTCAATGAGAGAGGGATGTATGTAAGGAGGCCGAAGGCTTGTATCCTCTCACTGCCATCCAAAAAAAGGGTTCGTCAAAATTAGTGCAGACAACATCAGTCTTGGACCCAAAATCAGTGGGCTCCTGTTCTTTTTAATGATAAGTCAAGGTTTAGTCTTAACAATATTCTAGTCGTGTACTGATCTGGAGAGAAACCGGGACTCGAAACCATCTCTCAAACATCAGAGAAAGGGACCGTTACGGTGGCCAAGGTGTCATGGTCTGATATCATGTTAGATGCACGCACGTCACTACATGTGTTTGATGGTGGCACTCTGACTTCTTAGCGGTACAGAGACGAGATACTGAAGCCCTATGTAAGGTTTTTTAGGGGTGTGTGGAATGGTGGAGATCCATTATTCCGGACGCAACCCAGACGGCTCAGGTGTCGACTGTAAATAAACATGTCCGGCGGCGCCAGCCGCCAACAAAGGAGCCGCCGACAAAGGACTTGAACACGGCTTGGTCTGATACCGACCAGTCGGGTGTTTTCCTCTGTCCTCTTAATATGTATTAAATAAAGTTAGTTAGAAGGAGATTTTTACCCCCTCCTTTCTGCTATTTAGTGATCTTATTTAAATCCTTGCAACAGCCCACAAAGAATCATCACAGCGAATTCTTCTACCGAATCTCGCTTCAGTGTTTTGTGAAACTATTACCCTACATTTCTTCACAAGGGGTGAGGTCGGACCCTCGTTCATCTTTATGGATGATAATGCTCGTCCTCATAGAGCCCTGATGGTAGACGAATATCTTGAAAGTGAGGGTATTCAAAGGATGGAGTGGCCTGCCAGATCACCAGACCTCAATCCTATAGAACATGTTTGGGATGGTTTGGGGAGACGAATTGGATCTCTTTCACCCCCACCCAGGACCACCCAAGAATTGAAAAACTGCTTTGGTTGAAGAGTGGGATTTGTCTCCTCAAGAGCTCTTTAATTACCTAATAAACAGCATGAAATATCGTTGTGACAGCTGTCTAGCTGTTAGAGGCGACCTCCCACCCTATAAGTCATCAAATATTGGCCAACATCTACCTACCTTTGGACTAATTAATATTAATTTGCATAACTCTATTATGTCTCTAAAAAATGTCAGCAATAAATTTATTTTGTCAACTTTATTTGTTATAGTTTTGTCTATCCACCTACAAATTTTTGTTCAAAATAATTCTAGATTTTTTTAGGAAACTAACATTAAGCGTATAATACAATACAATGCGGCTTATGATTGTAGACCGACATTTGAAAATTATCCCGCATGTGTTTCTTTTGAACGAAAAATCGAAATTTATTTTAAGGAGAAATAACGATTATTTCTAACCTTAGGGATGAAGTATGAAAGGATGAAGAGTAATGATAAACGGAAAAATAAAGTGTCCAGGGATGGGAATCGAACCCAGTGTTCCGCTTACCGGGCAGATGTCATGTTCTACAATCATAAGCCGCATTATATTGTATTATAAATTACTTTATATAATATTTACGAACGGAAAAATATATCCAGGGTAGCCTAGTGGACATGGCATCTGCCTGGTAAGCGGAAACTGTGGGTTCGACTCTCATCCCCGGACACTTTATTTTTCCGTTTATCATTGCTCTTCACAATTCATCCCTAAGGTTAGAAATAATCTTTATTTCTCCTTAAAATAAATTTCGATTTTCCGTTCAAAAGAAACGCATGCGGGATAATTTTCAAATATCGTTCTACAAACATTAAGTGTTTTTTACCTTAATTATGGACACCAGTGTATTTCAAGGGATTGCTCCCCCCTGTGCTGGAAACATTGTATGTTTTCCCACGTGCCGCGGCGGGGCGTGACCGTGCCTGCACGGGTGAGTGGTTGTTGTTTTGAACTATGTATGGATGGACATTAAAACATGGTGGCAGCGATAACTGGATAAAATACGAACCCGTATATTGCAAAATATCGATTTTTGTGTACCTTGGAAGATAATTCAACATGGCTCAGATTCAACCTCCAGAAACTTTCGACTTCTCGACTCCCAACGAATGGCCCAAATGGAGGAAGAGATTCGAACGATACCTCGTGGTCAGTGGAATGAAGAAGAAAGAGGAGGCGGACAAGATCGATTTGTTCATGTACTTGATGGGTGACCGCGCGGATGATATATTCAGGACCTTCAAGTTCGAAAAGGAGGAAGAGGCAAAGAAAATTGATTCCGTCCTCAAGGCGTTCGACAGCCACTTCTGTGTCAGAAAGAATATTATCTACGAACGTGCGAAATTTAATTCAAGAATCCAAGAGGATCGGGAGCCAGTGGACGAATTCATCACTTCATTGTACAAATTGGCAGATAGTTGCGAATTTGAGGGTCTTCATGAGCAGTTGATCCGTGACCGAATAGTGGTTGGAGTGAGGGACAAAGCTTTATCTGAAAGAATGCAGTTGGACAGCGAAATGACTTTGGAAAAGGCGGTGAAAATGGTTCGACAGCAGGAAGCCGTTCGACAGCAGCAAGTCGACCTGCAGCGTCCCTCAACAAGCCAAAAGGTCAATCAGGTGGAGTTCAACTCGAAGAAACAATCACCGAAACAACAACAGCAGCCTTCGAGGAAGAAGGAGAAGTCAGCCAAAACAAGATCACGATGTCCAAAATGCGGAGGTTTCACCCACAGGGAAGGACAGGCTTGCCGTGCTGAAGGACAAAGATGTAACCTATGTTCAAAAACTGGCCATTTTGCAAATTGCTGCCCAGATAAGCAGGCGAAGACTGCGGAAGTCAAAGCTGTTTCTGAACTTGATGAAGAAATTGGTGTACTCCTGGAGGTCTCAGCTGTGGAGGATTCATCTAATCTCGATGATGATGAAGGCGAGTGCAGGAGGCGATGGACAGCAGAAATCCAAGTGAACGGGAAACAGGTGAAGTTGAAGCTCGACTCCCAGGCGGATGTTACATGTGTTCCTCTGTGTCTCTTCAAGAAGATAATGGGACAGCAACGACTAGTGGAAAGTGATATTAACATTAGAGCTGCTGAATTCTCCGAACTTCAGACTGAGGGTATGTTTATATCAAAGCTGCGAAATGGCAATTATGAAATCAAGGAGAAGATTTATGTCATTCGTCGTTTGAGTGAACCTCTTCTGAGTCGCCGGGCATGTGAGCTCTTGAACCTGGCGAGGCGGATTGAAGTGGTTGCGACGAGAATTAACCCCATCAAGGAATTCCCTGAAGTATTTGAAGAACTGGGACAGATCGGAAACCCTTACGAAATCAAATTTAAACCTGGAGCAAAACCATATGTAGTGCATACTCCTCGACGGGTACCAATACCTTTGATGGAAAAGCTCAAAACAAGATTGGACATCCCTGGAAAGGAGCTGCTCGACGCCGATGCATTATCCAGACAACCACTTCTTACAACCGAGGGAGGTGAAAACGAACGGCAAACCTCAGCGCAGTTCTCTCGAGTATAACCGACAAAGACGAGATGTTGACGAAGATTTTTGAAGCTCAACAAGAAGATACGGCCCTGAAAGCAGTAGTCAACTACCTTGAGCAAGGCTGGCCAGATAAGAAGAAAATGTCACAGGCTCTGCTCTCTTATTGGCATGTCAAGGATGAACTCGGCATTCAAAATGGACTACTGATGCGTAGCTGTCGTCTTGTTATTCCAGCAAGTATGAAACTGGAGATCCTAGATAAATTGCACGCTGGGCATTTCGGGATTACAAAAACAAGACTTCGCGCACGTGAGACGGTATGGTGGCCTGGAATTTCGGAAGAGATCGCGGAAACGGTCAGAAAGTGCAGTGTCTGTATCCAGGAAGCCGTCTCAAAACATGAACCTTTGATACCAACCAACTTTCCTACACGACCGTGGCAAAAGATTGGAATGGATTTGTTCAAGTTCGAGAATAAGTGGTATCTAGTCGTCATTGACTATTATTCTCGCTTTCCTGAAATGATTCAGCTGGATCGGCTCAATGTGGTGGTGCGTAGTTGCAAATCCATATTTGCCCGACATGGAATACCAGAAACTGTTGTAAGCGATAATGGGACGCAATTTGGAGCGGCTCGTGAATTTGCAAATTTCGCAAGGCAGTACGGATTCACACATGTCACTTCAAGTCCTCGATTCCCGCAGAGCAATGGGATGGCAGAAGCAGGTGTGAAAATTGCTAAGTTGATCCTCAAGGAAAATCAAGACCCATCGCTTGGACTCCTGGAGTATCGATCGACCCCTTTGGAGAACGGTTACAGCCCTGCTGAGCTTCTCATGGGACGTAAACTCCGAGCGACCTTGCCAATTTCACCAAAGAATCTTAATCCAAGGTTGGTGGACTCTCAGACCCTGAAAAGAAAGGAGGGGAGAAGGAGAAAGGATATGAAATCCAGATATGATCGACGCTGCGGAGCTACGGACATGGAGGAGCTATCCGAAGGTGACAAGGTTTGGATTACAGATATGCGAATCTGGGGGATTGTAAAGCAGAAAGCATCGACACCAAGGTCATATATGGTTGATACTCCAGTTGGGACTGTACGTCGAAACAGGTTCCATCTACGAAAAGGAGTTACAGTGCAATATCCAGCCGACCCATCGACGCCGACCTTTTCGGGGGAGGAACTGGTTGAAAATGAAAAGACCCCAGTTGTGGATTATCCCTCTAACGACTCAGAAGACGGCCAGATAAGAACCCGGAGTGGACGAATTGTTAAACCTGTGGATTGCCTTCATTATTAATTATATTATGCATTTAAAGTTTGTAATGTATTTATATTTCAAATCTTAAAAAGGGGGATGTGCTGGAAACATTGTATGTTTTCCCACGTGCCGCGGCGGGGCGTGACCGTGCCTGCACGGGTGAGTGGTTGTTGTTTTGAACTCTGTATGGATGGACATTAAAACACCCCCTTTTTTTACTTTTTTTTTTCTTTAACAGATCCAGGTATGTGTTTTAAATCAAATAAAATTTGTACACTATATATTATTTTCGAGCGTCGCCCGGGTTTTCCTCGAGTAAATGTTTACCCAATGAAGAATGCTTTAACCAGTATTATTTATTATTATTGTATCTTATTAGACCCCCCCCCCTTCTAACGTGAAATGATTTGAACAATAAAAAAAAAATATTGAAACATAAAATGTCATTATGATGCATTATCGAATTTTGATAAGATGTTATTAATAATAATGATACACCAATTGGAAATTTCATGACTGCTAATTAGAGTGATAATGATATTATTATAATGAATAACATATTTTATAGCAATATTCGCCTGACAAACATTCACTAGGGGAGATGCCGGGCTAGGCTTAGTCATTCTCTCTTCTTGCAGTGCATCGGTGGCGGAGTCTTTCCCGCGGTGGGCCCTAACAATGGAGACCTTGTATATGTGTGTGTGTTTTTAAAATAGAGCAATCCATAATTAAATCTTTAATTAAAAAGGCATATATTGGATAAATGATATTTTGATCCAATATATGCCTTTTTAATTAAAAAAATATATATGTGTGTATATTCATCAATTATTTTGTATATTTATATCTATTTTATCATATATTTATCATTATATACTCTAATTCATTCATATTAATATTTATTCTGTATTTAACCTTATATAATCTTATATGAACATTGAAATAAAGTAGTTTCAATCTCAATCTCTCCCTCTTATTTAACCATTCATGAACTAGGTAATAAAAAAGTTTCAATCTCAATCTCTCCCTCTTATTTAACCATTTATGAACTAGGTAATAAAAAAGTTTCAATCTCAATCTCTCCCTCTTATTTAACCATTCATGAACTAGGTAATAAAAAAGTTTCAATCTCAATCTCTCCCTCTTATTTAACCATTTATGAACTAGGTAATAAAAAAGTTTCAATCTCAATCTCTCCCTCTTATTTAACCATTTATGAACTAGGTAATAAAAAAGTTTCAATCTCAATCTCTCCCTCTTATTTAACCATTTATGAACTAGGTAATAAAAAAGTTTCAATCTCAATCTCTCCCTCTTATTTAACCATTTATGAACTAGGTAATAAAAAAGTTTCAATCTCAATCTCTCCCTCTTATTTAACCATTTATGAACTAGGTAATAAAAAAGTTTCAATCTCAATCTCTCTCTCCTTATTCCTATTTATATTTATTCAATTTTATATATATTTAACCTTATATAACCATATATGAACGATGTAATAAATAAATTTCAATATCTCTCTCTGAGTTGGTATATAATAATTATCATAAATTTCTATATAACACCAAAATATGTTTGGTTATTGTTTAATTTTAGTTTTTGAATAGCTTATATATGTTAGTTTATATATTCAGTTATCTGAATGAAAATTCATCAATATTTTTAAAAGTAGATTTGGAGGAGAAGAGTATATATAAAAAACATCAAATTATCTTGACAAGAATAGATTCAGTCGAGAATGGATATGTTTGACCTGAATATTATTCTAACAAATATTCGTAAGGCAAACTTTCACCAGGCGAAGCCGGGTACATTCGCTAATAAAAAAATATAAATATGCATATGTCTACTTTTATATATACATATAAAGATAGAGATTTCTTCAAAGCGCTATAATGATGT